AATGCTAAGGCTAATGCGTTTGGTTGGGCAGCGGGGGGTCATCGGCCGACGGGCCCAGAAAGTGTTCTGCGCTGGAGCCCTCCCAGCCCTCCAGTACGGTTGTGAAGTCCATGGGATGTCTGATGAAGAGTTCGCTAAGGTTCGAAGGCTCGCGGACACCACTTCAAGGCCAAGCTCAGGCGAACGGTCGCTGTGCTCCCTGTTTGGCACGGCTGCGCCGATTGTGCGTTGCGCGCGTGAAGTCTGGTTGCTTCACACCGCCGCTACCCCGTGCACCCTCTCCTGGGCGGCCCTCCGTGAGGCCTGGACTCTGGCCTTCAGTGGGCCGTGCCCTGGGTTACCCTCTGTTCGGGGCCCTTGAGGGGCCATGCGCCTCTCGCTGGCGCGTCTTGGGTGGACTATGCCAGGTCCCTTTGCCCTCATTAACGATCATTGACGCTTACTTCTCCCGCTCTCCTTAAAAAACTTCTGCGTGCCGCTGCGTGCCGGCTTCTTGCTCGGGAGGCGGGCGACAAGTACGCCTCCGGATCCAGGTTGTGTTTCGATATCGTTTTAGAAGAGCTTGCCACTCCTAAATGTTCGCCCTTCGTACGGTGTCGTGACGTGGCCTGTGGCCCCTCTCGCGTGCCGTGGGTGCCGGTTACCAGGTCCCTGACATCTGCCCGCTTTGTGGCCAACCAGGCGATATGGTCTACCACAGGTTGTGTAAGTGCCAGGAGTGCGAGCTCGAGCGCACCGAGTTGGTCGACCCTGAGGTGCTGGCGCTGGCTCGAAGTAAAGACCTATCGGGTGAAAAAATGCTGCTCTTGGAGCCTGGTCTCTTCCCGAATCCAGGCGACTGGTGGCCCAGCGACCTTGGGACGCCGCGCGCGAGAGTGAAGTTGCTCGCTGTTTGCCTAGCGCCTCCAGTAGTTCCACTGTGCCGACGTTCACTCAGTTTCAAGGGGAGGGGGAATTGTACTTAGATGGCTCGTGCATGACGTCACCTATCAAAGAATTATGCCGCGCTGATTTCGGAGCGGTCATGCTTTCGGCCGGTGGCGATTTGCTGGCCATGCTATATGGGCCGCTGGCTGCCGAGTTCGGGTCGCTAGCTTCCTCGGCTGCATACTTGGAACTCGTCTCCTGGCCGCTGGCTGAAATTAGATTGCGCGAATGCTGTTTCAACAGTTGCCTTGTGCCGCCCTGACATGTACCTTATAAGCGGTCATACAGGATTGATGTTGCAGGCTGAAGCCTTGTCCAACGGTTGCATTGCTGGTGTGGACAAGGTGGCTGCTCACCTTGCCCTCAACACGGACCTCCCTAGGGACGAGTACGTCCGTCCTCTGGGCAACGACTGGGCTGACAAGGCCGCAAAGACGGGGGCGGCATTCCATCCGGATGCATCCCCCGCCGAGCATCGCAGGTTGGACAGGCTGATTTCTTTGGCGCGGGCAGTTGTGTTGCTCTCGGTACGGCTTTTGCCACGTTGGCCGAAGACGTCCGGTGCCGCCGCCTCCACCTGTTGCCGACAGGGCCCCTGCAGTGTCAGCGCCCCACGAGTGAATCTTGGTCGGGCGGCCTCCCCGCAGTTATTGTCCATGTCCTAACTGCTTGAGGGGCTCGCGATCGGTGTACAGGCCTCCAGACGGCAGGTGTAGCAAACAACTTCGTGTCCAGCCTCAAGTTTTACGAGAGCTGGGACATCGTTGTGTGGTAATCGACTGCAGCGACGATTCGTTTGTGTGTTTGCCAGCGGTGCGGTTGTTTCACCTCTGGTGCTCGCCTCGATAAATTGGCGAGGACATGCATTCCTATCGCTGATCCGCACAAGAGCGAGAGTTGGAGACAGCTCGACAAAGGACTTCATCCGAAGAGATTACGAGTTACTGTCGACCTGTCAACTGTTTGTCCAATCTGATTGGGGCCTTTGGCCGTGGATGTCAAACAAATCAGCATCGTCATCATCATCATCATCATCATCATCATCATCATCATCATCATCATCATCATCATCATCATCATCATCATCATCAACACTATCGTCATCATCATCATCATAATCATCATCAATATCATCATCACCATCATCAGCATAATCATCACAAGCATCATCACGCATCATCATCATCATTAGCATCATCACCAGCAGCAGCAGCATCAGCATCATCATCATCACCGTCAGCATCCTCATCCGCATCATCATCATCATCTTCTTCATCATCATCATCGTCATCATCATCCTCATTAGCATTATCACTATCAGCATAGCCATCATCATATGCCTTTAGTTATTTCTTTGCTGATGGCTATGCTAGAATAGCTGCCATAAACTACAACTCGGGAGACCTAGGGCAACGGATCCTATATTTACAGATGGCGCTGCGGTGTGTGATCGGACGCTGCATAACTCGAGACACAGCCGAAGCGGGACAACGACCCTCGAACTGACACGCGATCAAACCGGGTAAAACTAGCAACCCCCCGTTCAGAGCTCCAGCTTCGGCTTCGGCCGAATCGTTAACAGTAGGAAAATAGAAAGCACAATAACCTAAGGGTCGAAATGGCGCGCCTCCCTTACTGCTCCTCCCCTCAGATCAACTCCAATTCCTCCTTCACCACTGTCGCGTCTCCCCCCATCCGTCCACAACATGAACTGATCCATCATAGGCAAGATATTCCCAATATCCGGCCGTACACCCACCTCGTTGCGCTTGAAATCCATTGCCCAATTGCACAGACCGTCTGCCTCCTGATTCAAATTGCGTTTCCGCCACTGTATCGGGTCGGAGGTATCAGATTTAGGTCGGGCTTGGGGTATGAGCACCAAAAGCGAAAGAATATCCGAGGCGTGTCGAAGGAGTTGTTGCCGGTGGGATCCTTTAGCATGGCCGTACGTGGTATCTGAAATAATTTGGTTATCAACAACACATACAAATCTGACCCACCCCTGATCCCAGGCCTGCAGATCTGACGGATCGTCCTGGTACGGGATTGTCTCGAAGAGATCGCCACCCTGCTCGAAAAAGGGTTGCGTAGACGGAACTAGGTCACCCCGACGCCGGACGACAGGTGGCGCCAGCTCAGCCAATGCGCGGTCATCGTCTTCGAGAGAGCGTGATCCACCGCCGCTTTACTGTGGAAAATTGCCAACCTTTTCCTCCGGAGCCCGGGGGTCTCCCCCCCCCCCCTTCCGAAAATCCCCCCCCCCTGCTGGAACCCCTCCCCCCCCCCCCCCCCCCTCCCCTCCCGGCAAAAACCCCCCCCTCCCTAACCCCTCCCCCCCCCCCCCCCCCTCCCCCTCGAAAACCGGGGGGGGTCACTACCGGTTCGCACCCCTCCCCCCCCCCCCCCCCCTCTCCGGATCCGGAAAACCGGGGGGGTCACTAGGGGTTGGAACCCCCCCCCCCCCCCTCGAAAACCGGAGGGGGGTCACTACCGGTTCGACCCCCCCCCACGCACCGCCAGCAAACGACTCCCGGTCCCTACCACCGCTCGCATGACATCCCCCACTGTTGTTCCCAGCGCCACTGTCCTCACCACCACTGCCCCCGCTGGTTCCACCACCGTCCCTATTGTCCCCACCAGTGCCCCCACCACTGTCGCACTGTCCCCAGTGTTCCAACAACTGTTCCCACCACGGTTCCACTCTCCCCACTGTCTCCACGGACCCAACCACTGCCTATCCCCACTGTCCCCACTGTCCCACTGACTCCTCCGCTGTCCCATTGAGCTGCCCCACTGTTCCCACCAGTGTCCCCACTGTCCCCACCACTGTCCCCACTGTACCTCTGTCCCATTGTCCCGTCGCCGTCCTCGCCGACGCCTTTACCAGTGTCCCCACCACCATTGTACCCTCCACTGTCCCAGTGTTTCCACCTCATTCCCACTGTCCCCACACCACTGTCCCCACCACCACCGTTCCCACCACTGTCCACTGTCCCCCCTGTTCCCACCATTGTCCCCACCACTGTCCCCACCACTACCCTCCCCACCGCTGTCCCACTGTCCCCCCACTGTCCCCACCACTGTCCCGCTGTCCCCTCACCACTGTCCCCACCAACACCGTCCCCACCACTGTCCGCACCCCCACTCGGTTTTCGAGGGGGGGGGGGGGGTTCGAACCGGTAGTGACCCCCCCCCCTTTTCATGATGAGCTGGGGGGGGGGGGGAGGGGTTCGAACCGGTAGTGACCCCTCTCGGTTTTCCGGAGGGGGGGGGGGGGGGAGGGGTTCGAACCGGTAGTGACCCCCCCCGGTTTTCCGCCAGGAGCGGTAGAACACGCTCTTTCTCGTCTTCCAATGGTCGTTTCAATATTGGCCCCAAACTCCCATAGGCCGAAGACATTTTTGGCCAAACACTGGACACGACATCCCGTTTCCGTTTCCCGCCCCTCGTCGTAACGGCCCCCCCGTCGAAACAGATGGTTCCCGGCGCATTCCGTTGGTCCCTACCCACTCTGGTAATTGCCACTGCTTGCTTTGACCTTTCAACCAATCCGCCCGGGACCCCATCACGTTTTCAACCCAATCCGGAACGTGCACATCCCAGAAATCCTCCATCAAGCACGTGGACTGCCCTCCACTCGGTCTCTCCGCTCCCCACCGCCCTCCCGTCATCCCGAAGAGAAAAGCTCTCGTCCGCGGCCCAGCTCCAAGGGCTACCTCCCGGAGCCCGTCGCGCCGGCACATCGACAGTGACCGTAAAGGGTAAACGACCTTGCCATCAGACTCTAATGAAAAGTGCATGCTGTCGTGCCGCCACGTGCAAATACCGCGCAACAGCTTATGATGTGTTTGAGATATCCCCCTTTCTCTGTACTTCGTGGCAATCATGTGTGCAGTATTTGTCATCAGCAGCAGCAGCAGAAGCATCCTCCACATCCTCCTCCTTCTCCTCCTCCTCCTCCTCCTCCTCCTCCTCCACCTCCTCCTCCACCTCATCCTAATCCTCATCCTCTCCTCCTCCTCCTCATCCTCCTCGTTCTCCTCCTCCGCCGCGGGGCGACGACGACGTTTCTGCCAGGACACCGAAGTTCGCCTGGTCAACATGCTCGCGCCCGTCGGTGCAACATTGACGAGGAAGGAGCGAGGATGAGCACGGGGGGCACGAGGAGGGAGGGGGCTGCAAGGACCAGAGGAGGGAGGAGAAAACTCTGCTTCACGGACGGGGAGGGAGGGAAGGGGGCGGGAGGAGGGTGAGGGGGGGAGGGCGGAGGGTGAGGGGGAAGAGATGGGAGGGGGGGAGGACGAGAGGGGGGGAGAGACAAGATAGGTGCGCTCGCGCCTCATCTGAGGCACCTTCTCCCTCCCACCCATTCCTTTCCACTGCGCTGAGTTGTTTGACTATCCGCGGACGCGCGGCATAGCCGACCACAGCGTGGTACAACATGCCGATCCGAAAATGAGGCCTGCGCTTCAGCAGGAACGCCGTTTTTGAAACACTGAAAACAATCGGATTGACAAAACCATAAGGAACGGCGTGGTTTGACTTCCTGTGCGAAATATGGAACAACACGCGGAAAGGGCCTAATATCTTCCGCACGGAGTCAGGGCAAAGATAAGAGTAGGATCAAGAATGTGTATGTGTGAACATGCAGGAGTGGGAAAGAGAGGGGGGAAGGAGGGAGGATAATGAGGAGAGACGATAAAACGAGGAGAATGAGGATAATGAGGATAGGGGAGAAAGAGCGGGGCGAGAGGGGAGGGAGGGAGGGAGGGAGTCAAGGAGGGCGGTGGGACGACGGAGATGGGGGAGGAGGAAAGATGGGCCGAGATTCTAGCGACAAACTTGCAACCTTTACGCTGCGGCCCGTCAATTGAGGACGCCACGGCCTATAGACGCTCGCCAGCTAGCATTGGCATGGAGAGCTGCCCACGCTGCCATTCGGCCGCCCCCCCTCGCAGTGGGAGGAGGAGCAGCAGCAGCTGCATCAGCAACATGTGCTACTCCAAACTCCAGCGAGCCCTCTGGGCGTCGATGGATGAGAGTGTTGGCCCTTCCAAAAAAGCGCCTTGTTTCCGAATTCCGGGGAGCGGCCACGGTGCCGCTGGGTACGTACAAAGAGGAGTCAGTCTCCTCAGAGCACTTCAAGCTCTCAATACTGAATACCCTGAGTGCTCTTTAAGGGGCCTGGGGTCCCGGCTGCGGGGGGTCTGCGGCATTGTCGCATGACTCATCCCGAGGTCGGAGAGCCCTTAGATGGACTCAGGGGGTACAGGAGGGTCCAGCACCGCCCAACAGGGCCCCGAGACGGCCCAAGAGCGCTCCGAGACTCATGACAGGCCCCCAGAAGGCCCCAAGAGGACCCCCAAGAGGACCCCAGGAGGACTCCAAGAAGCCAGCGTCACGCACTCACATTTTCGGGCGTTCGACACCACGAGAGGCCCCCAAAGACCGCCCCAAAAAAGCCCGATAGACCCCCACCAAGGCCCCACGATGGCCCCAAGAGGGCCGACGATTAACAAGGTACGGCCGAGAGGCCTCCAAAAGAGCCCCAAGAGTGGGAACTCGAACTGGCCTTGGGAGCCGGTTCCCAAAATGTTGTCCCCAAGATCCCCAGCATGCCCGAAGAGCCCCCGAGAAGCACCCACGGGGCCTCAAGAGGTCCCGAAGGGACCCCCAAGAGGCCCCCAAAGAAGGCCCCCCAAGAAGGCCCCCGAGAGGCTTCGGGAGCTCTCGAGACAGGCGTCCACAAGAGGCCCCCCGAGAGGCATCTCAAGATACCCCGACTGGCGTCCAAGAAGAATATGACCCATACAACCCTGGCACGATGGTGGGATGGGCCGAGGGCCACCTGAAACGTTCCCTCCCTCGCCCACCAAAGTGGCAGCCGGCCCGAAGACATGCCCGCGCGCGCACACACACACACACACTCAGACTGTCCCTGTAAAAGGCTGTTCGAAATGCCCGCTGCAGCACAGAATGACCTTGTGCGGTCACCGACCCAACATTGCTCTTTGGTTGTCTTCAGGGACGGTGGGGGATCGTTGTATCTGCTGGGCGGAGGCCCACCATCCAGCAAACAAGAAAATGACAAGTGACTGCGGACGCACAAGCGCACGACAGGCCATGCTGACCACCCCGCAACCACTGTCTGTGGATTTCGACAGCCACGGAGGAGGTGTGAACAAAATGCCCGATGTGTGCTGTCACCTGCGCTGGCAGACCTGGCGCACCCTGTGCGCGTCGCGCACGTGGCGACGATGGCACGGCCGGAGCACGTGGCACCCGTGGAGCACGTGGCACGCTTGACACACTTGGCAGCAGGCATGTCTGGCAAGCTCGAGCCCCTGGGGCACCTGGCGCACCTGGTGTGCGCGGTGCACGTGGCAAGCGTGGTGCGCCTCGCGAGCGTCCCGCACCCTGCGCCCGGCGACCTGTGCTTCTGCATAGCTTCGGGTGCTACCTATGTGGTTTGGCGGCGAGCGAGGGGGGGAAGTCAGAAGGAGAAGGCCTTCTCAGAGGGCGGCGGGACTTCTCAGAAGCCCTCGCGCCTTCTTGCGCGTTCTGAGAGCTGTTTTGTGTCTGCGGGAAGGCTCAGGAAACTTCTCAGAAGGCTGGAGACTTCCGAGCCTTCTGAGAAGGCCCGCCCCTTCTCACTTCCCTCCCTCGCTCGCCGCCGAATGGTGGTATGGCATGTGGGAGTGAGCGAGGCAGCTTGTGGTGGCGTTCCCGTTGGGCATTTGGCCCCACCCCCGTACCTCCTCCAAAGATGCCTGCACAAGGGGGGCATCGTGGCGTTGGAGCGTCCAGGATGGCCCTATCCTAATCCAAGATGGTTCCAGGCAGTCCCTGATTGCGTTGAAGATGGCGCGACATGGACCAAGTTGGCCCAAATAAACTCCGACATGGCTCCATGAGGGCACCAGGATGGCTCCGAGGTTCCCCTACGAGCCTGTCAAACAACCACCAGAAATAAAAGCCGAAACACCAAAGGCGTTATCAACCTTTTTCGACGTCTTACCTTTTCGGCCGCCTATGGGCCTCCGAGTCTTCAATATTGCCCTAAGATCGCACAAGGAATCCCCCAGAGGGGTCCAGTCCAGGAGGGAAACCAAGAGTGGTTCGAGAGCCCCCCCGAACATGTTCCAGAAAGACCCAAGAGGGTCCCATAACGTAATCGTTCAGGCTTATAGGTGATGGGGGAGCATGGTTAGCGTCTGTCCCATAGTTGGACGATGGCCCCAAGCATGACCCCGAAAACGCCCCAGAGGCTCCCAAGAGAGCCCCAAGAGGGGTTCAAGA